TACTTGCTGTTATTTAGAATCTATTCACTTGATTGCTGACCAATATCTTGATCACTTAAAAGGACATTCAGCTTCTTGTTGGCTTTCAAATTGTGGTGGAAAGAAATACATTAATATTTAAAATATTAAAAACGTGTATATGTGGAAGAAATATTATGGGAAACATTCTTGGCATAGATCATGAACATCTGTCTGTGTCTGTGTTGGCTGGATTGAAGTCTATAAACAATAAATTTCCTATGAAATTCTGTCTAATGTACACAATTGTTGTGTATGATAGAAATGACCATGGAATTCTTGGAGAAAACCTATATTATCTATTATGAAATTATATTTATGGCACTACATTACATTCATTGGAATACATATTACCTGCCAAGAGTCAAACTCCAGTTTTTCAACAGAATACGTTGACAATGTATCTACTTCTTGTAGCAGCATCTCATGGAGTGCATGGGCCACAGAATACACAGTATTGTATAGGACATAACCTGTACCACTCACAGACACTTCAAAATGTTGCTGGAATAACCACTGCATTCGTTTTTCTATTGAGCAATTCTTAAGGTTCATAGAATTAAATGAAGTCAGAGAACAATTAAAATAAATCCAACAAAATTTGGCAAGGGAAATTTTATTACTATACTTGGAAGGATCTGCTGTCTCAATAAATTTTTTTAAACCAGGTAATTCAGAAAAGTGAAGTAAAAAAGTAAATGTCCCATAGAATGAATCAAGAAGTAATCTGCCATTATGTGTTATCATATCCCACTGTAAAGTAGTGACCCAGATCCTCTTAAGGTTTGATAATCTGTAGAGTTTAAGGTTAAGTTGCAGATGAGAGTCTTTGTCTCCATAAATGATAACAACTTTGGCTGATGATGTTGTGATCTCATTATAATAGATATTTGTATTTTTCTGGAATAATATTTTATCTCCCATGATAATATGAACAAAGGCTAAGCACACACTGTTTCTTTGCATCTCTCTTCTTAATTCTGAGAGAAATTCAAGTCCTAGGTCATCATCTGAAATGATGGCTCCAACCCAGTTCCATCTGAAATACACCAGCAAAGACACCATGGACAAAGGCAGAGATGTGTCCTTAGGTGCCATCTGGTAGAGATGTGGAAACTGTTCATGTTTGCTCAGGAGAGGATGAAATGGTCCATAGTAAAGCTGAAAGACAATGAATTGAAGAAGGTAGAATGCATAATGATCAGTCTAAAACCAATTGTACTCATCATAACCTGGAAATATTATGTCATGTGGATTTTCATCTCATTAAATCTTATGTAATTTCTTGTGAATATCTTAAAAGGTACAGATGAGCCAAATCTGCTACTAAAATACTTCAAATTTCTTTTTGCTTTGGGTCTATTTATGCTAAAGTACTGGTATATGTCAATGCTTTCTGAGTATATATGCTTTCAATTCTATGCATCAAAACACACACATACATACTTTTTTCTTTAATCAGCCTTGGTATCTGAAAATCAGCATGAAAGGAGCCAATGTTTCATTAACTCACACATGCTTACCTCTGGTTTATTTGTGATGTACAGGAGTTGTCCAAGCATAGCAGATGATAACCAAATTGGACCTGTAAGTGTGATTAAATATCTTCTCTGATTTATACAGCAGTAGTTAGGAAGAAATTCACCTAATTTTGTGGATAAACTATTCATTCTCCAATCATCCAGGAGGTTACATTCAACTTTAACTAACAGTGAAATGTTGGGTAAAATGTGAGGGTCTTTGTTGATACTTTCAAGAGCAAAATAAAGAGACAAAATCAAGTGGATATTTTTATATGTCAACCTGAAAAGAGAGCAAACAGATCATTAGAGATGGGGCTCTTAACGTAACATTAAATTAAACCATTAGGGTTTTTTTTTAAATCAGGGTTTCTCTGTGTAGTTTTGGTGCCTGTTCTTGAACTCTCTCTGTGGACCAGTCTGGCCTCAAACTCACAGAGATCAGCCTGGCTCTGCCTCACGTGTGCAGGGATTTAATGCGTGTGCCCCCACTGCCCAGCCTTAAACTAACAGTTATCATGAATTTAATGCTTGATTTTTTCCAATTGCTTTGGAGACACAAGACCTGTTACTGTGCTGTTTGAGAACATGAATTTTCTGGGATTAAGTAAGAATTCTTAAAAGTTTTGGAGGTGGATCTCACTCATGTGGGATGCTCTGATTTTGAACTCTCATACAGTTTTATTTCTTTGTCTGTGAGCATGGTGAGAAGAAGGTTTTAGAAGACACTGAATCGGCTCATTCCATTATTATAGAATTATTGTAAATAACATAAATTTAAAATAGGTGGATATTATCTTCTACCCAGATAGTGATAGATTTTTAGAACAAAGCAACTGTTGACAATGCCCTGACTTGGTTATGAATATAAAGAATGGATAACAAAATATATCAATCTGTATCACCATCTCTGGGAACCTTTAAATTTGTAAGCAATATTAATAGCATATTTTCTTTTAATTTTTCTCTGTATTTCATGCACCTTTGTCCTTTTCCATTCTATTTGATGCTCTGTAATCTTCAATGATATATTATTGTTTAGAACAATGACCATATATTACAAAGAATAAGCCCTCTTCACATGGGCCCTTACTGTGGGATGTCTTTCTCTATGCTGTGAATATGTATTGCTCTGATTGGTTGAAAAGTAGTCGTTTGACCTATGGCAATTCAGGTTATAGCTAGGTGGAAAATTGAAAAGAGAGACAGGAAGAAGAAAGGCAGAGAGGAAAAGACTACATCCTGCCATCCAGGGAGCAACATGAAATCACACAGAGGTAAAGCCACCGAACACATGGTAATATATAGATTAATAGAAATGTGCTGAGTTTAGATAGAAGAATTAGCTTATAAGAAAATTGAGTCACAAGTCATGGCTATACAATTCATAATTAATATAAGCCTCTATGTGTTTAGTTGGGTCTGAGTGACTGAGGCACCAAGTAGGACACAGAAAATCTTCCAGCTACAGCCCTTAGGTTGATGATGAATAACTTAATTTTCATTTGTTCATCTGAACATGCTAGTCTTATTTCTAGATTACTGTTGGTTTGTGCTAATTATCAAAATAATTGTCTTTCTCTAATGTCTTAACTTTTAATCTCCATGCAGATCCTCTGATATCAATAATGTAGAGGGTGAGTGAACTGGCTTACATCAGTAATCATATTGCTGAATACCCTGTCAGCATAGAGCCTTCATCCAGTAACTGATAGAAGCAGATGCAGAGATCCACATCCAAATACCAGGCTGAGCTCCAAGAGTCCAGGCAAAGAGAGAAAAGGGATTCCTTGAGCAAGGGCATCAAGGTCATTATGGGGAAATGTACAGAGACTACTCGTGGGAACTCATGAACTGTGGACCAATAGCTGGGGATCCTCCATGGGACTGGATTAGGCCCCCTGCATAGGCAAGGGAGTTGTGAAGCTTTAACTGCTTAAAGACCCCATCCCTGGTTGTGAGATCAAGATCCAACCCAGGTGCATGTGTGGGCTTTTTCAAGCCCAGTGCCTCCGGTGAGACACTTTACACAGCCTTCGTGCAGGGGAAGGTTTTTGGACCTGCCACAAATGAGTGTACCAGGCTCTGCTGACTCCTCATTGGAGGCCTTGTCTTGGAGGGGTTGAGTTGGGGCCTATGTTGGGACAGAAGGCTGGGGGATGCAAAGAGGTAGGGGAGGGGGATCTGTGGTTGGTATGTAAAATGAATAGAAAATTTCTTTATAAGTAAAAAAATATCATATGTAACAATTTGTTAATAATTTGGTTCATTGTCTGTTTTTCTTTTATTGTTTCAGCTTTTGTTTCCTCTTGTGTATATTCTATTTTTTTATGACAGTGTTCCATATCTGAGTGCACTGGCCTATTCTGTTGCTCTATAGCTAGTAACCAATTGAATGAATAGTATATTTGCCCTAGAATTTATGGTTCTAATGCTTGAATAATTTTACTCTGAAGTTTTCTATTCTTTTCTTTCTTAAAGTTTTCTGTTGGATTCAGAAATAACCAAGCCTGAATTGTTTTTAAGTGCTCTGCCATTTGGGTTGGATTTTACTGATGTATGGGTATTTCCAGTTTTAAATTTGAATTATCTAGTTCAAACAACAAAGTTACTATTCTATGACATTAATATCTAAAATTGCTAAAGTCATTTTTTCCAAATAAAGTTTCAGAATTTATAGTTCTTATTCTTATGGATTCAAGTCATCAATTTCCATGAACTCTTACTTTCTATTCATCTTTCATTTAAAGGTTTCTATATCATATCTTTGACCAATTAGTGATTTACATACTTTTTAAAAAATCATTTTTCAAAGTAACATCGTCATAATTTCCACATTTCCTAATATGATTGATCACCAGTTTTGGATTTTCATTTTAATCTATGGACAATCTGAATATATAACTGAATATTATTTCCCCTTCAATTCATCACATTGCCTTCTTCACCAAAGCATGAATGTGATAAGTTACTGTCAAACTTGAACACTGTTTGTTTTGTAGACCAAAATTTTGTTGCCACCATTTGTTTATAAGCTTAAGGAAATTCCTTTAACCCCAAGATTTCTATTGGTTATCCCTACTGGGATAATCCTCATTTCTTATCTAGTACCATTCCTCAGTGCTTTTTTAGGTATCTCTTGCTTTATTTGAAGTCATGAACTTGCTGATTTATGTAAAGCCTTTATACATATATAACAGAAATAATCTAGACACAAATCTCATACACCACATAAAAATGGTTATAGATTAATAGATTAATGGCATATAGATTAATATTGGCCATTAGTTAATTCTCAAAAGGGAAGAGTCAGTTTTCTTTAAGAGTATGACCCATAGTGGATCATTCATTTTCCAGTGGAAGGACTCATGCAGAAAATTAATCAAAAGCACAAAATATACTTGGTGGCTTAATAAAAAAGAGTGGTGAAGGAGAGGAGCAATTATCATTAAATTACATTATACCAAACTCTTAACCAACTAATAAAAATTGTGCCTTATGCAATTAGCTTCAAATCATGACAGTATTATATGAGTTCACAATTTTGGAGATTTAACTTTACGTTGATGCGTTCAATTGCTATTCCTGGCAGCACTGTGCATCTAGGTTGGAGACAGTGAAGGACAAAGCATTTACATAATGTCTTGAGTAAACAAGAGAAAATAGTAGAAAATAAATTAGGATTTTACAATTCCAATTGAATACCTTATCCCTATATCAAGTGTGCCAAAAACAAAGAGTCAAACTGAAGTTTGGTTCATCAGTATTCAAGAATTTTAGCGACCCTCAAATCAAATCTATAATAATTCTTAATATATAAAGAAATAAAATAGAGTCTCCCAGCTGCGATTGGACCAAGCAAGCCTTATTCCAGTAACACATGGAAGCTGATGCAGAGAGATCCATAATCAAGCACCAGGCCAAGCTCAGGGAGGCCAGTTGAATAGAGGAAGAGTGATTATAAGAGCAAGCACGGTCAAGATCATGATGGGAGAAATCTGCAGAGACTCCTGAACCAATCTCACAGCAAATCATGATCTTTGGACAGTTTTGAAACCTGCAAGGCACTGGACTGGACTCTCTGCATTCCAGAGACACTTGTGTAGCTAGGTATGTGTGAAGGGGCCCTGGCAATGTGATCTGGGTCTATTCCAGGTGAATGAGCTGGCTTTCTGGATCTCATTATCTATAGTCAGACACCTTGTCCACACTTGATGCAGTGGGGAGAGATTTGGTCCTGCCTCAACTGAATGTACCGGGATTAGCTGTCCTTCCTCATGGGAGAAGTTACCCTGTTGGAAGAGGGGATGATGAATAGGGGAGCAAAGTCAGGAGTGGGGGAATAGAGGGTTAGGGAGTGGAGGTATTGGGGAGGAGAGGGAATGGGAGGAGGGGTGAGAAGCAGATCTGTGATTAGTATGTAAAATGAATAATTTTTTTAAAAATACATACAATATGCAACCTTTCTGTCATCAATCAATCCAGTCACAAGTTCTAGTGAATTACTGAATCTACAATGGAAAAAGCCTCTGATTAGTCACAGATATTCTGATTATGTGTGTCATCAAAGGAGTTGGAATATGGGAAATCTAATTTATTATATTCTACACCAAAAAGGCTGATTATACTCTGAAGTATCTATTCAGACCAGTCAAAAAATAATCATTTTTAGTGATTGCATTTTGAAAATTGTGCTGTATAACATGAATGAAAATATTTTCTTAATTAAAAAAAAGAAAAAACCAAAACAAACAAACCAAAAGTGATTAACTCTAAAACTCTTCCAGAGACAACATGAAGTACAAAATCCAGTAAAGCACATAACTTCATTGTTACTGGCATTAGAAAAAGTTTTGAGACATTTGGTAATTTTGAGATGTCTTTGGCCAAGTCATGAGTAAACATGTAACTGAAGAAAAATGGCTGGTGGATTTCAAAATAAAACAAGGGGGCTTTACTGAAGATGATGAATGTGTGACCTTCTCTGAGGTTTTTTGGTATTTTTTTCTAAAATCTGATGTGTAAAAATTTATATCCTGTTAAAACAAGTTTTTGATATTATTTTTTCAACCACTTTTTTCTTGTTTGAGAATTTCATGCACTTGCATAGTATGTTTGTCTGTACCTTTAACTCACATTCCTTTCAAGTTTGAATTTGCCACCTATCATTGTTTGAAATTAACTACTGTCTCAATATAATAATAAAGTTAAATTAAAACTTGAAAAAAAAGAAAACTGTGGATGCCTATATTTGTGTGGTATATTGAAGCAATTCTTCAATTCAAGTTTAAAATGAACTCAGCAAATATTTCATTTTAATACTCTAATTTGTCACAATATCAATTACTAATGTTCTACAAGGCCCATGAAAAGAAGCAATGACTAGGGTTGTCACATATTGACATATGCTACAGTCAAACATGATTACTAAAAACAAATGAACATTTCTTCTGGGATCCAATAAAAATCAAAATCAAATGATATTTACCTGATTTGTAAGCTCTCATTGAATTAAAAGATGTAAAATAAAACAGAGAGGATGTTAGAGAGTGTTTCTTTCAGTGTTAGATTACAAAACTGAGGGATAAACACACCAATTTCAAAGCTATTTTAGCAAATTATAAATGCTAAAAGTTTGAAGTTGCTAATGAACAAAAAGGGTGAAAAATTTTAAATTAAGTTCATAGGATATAGGGTTAGCTGAAAATAATATAAAAATCATAAAAATATGATTAATAAGTATTTAAGCAAAATGCTTATTCATAACACAAAAAATTTAAACTAGATAAATATTTGAAATATATATGAATATATATGGTATATATTTGTATGATGTGTATATATGTATATATTTATACATATATACTATAAATTACCTGTATTATACATGTGTTTTGGCAATGAATAGTTTATTTGCTTTAGTATAAAATTAGATCTCAATTCAACTTGACAAAGGAACATGTAGGGAACTTTTGCTCAATTTTTTAATTTTTACAACATCATTTTCTTTATCAACTATTATGTTCTTTTTAATGATACAACATATAAACCGAGATAATGCATGTTTAGAAACATTCTTCTATGATGTTTTATGTAATAAATACATGCTTCAAAGAGTATCAGATAATTCAATGCCTTTTTTTGAACAAATGTTTATTTACATGTAGAAAATCATGAATAGCATCAGTACCATTTAGCAACTTTTGTATCTTGGTTGCTTTTATACCTACGTTATTCATTTCTTGCCTTAATGAATATTCCAGTAATCTTATCTAGAGAGATCATGTCATTGAGGAGTGTTTAGCCATAAACTGATGAGATTTTCGAATCAGTAAAAAGGGAAATTGCAAGTTCTCTCATCTCTACTTCCAAGAAGACAGTTTCCCTCCAACTTCAAGAACTCTAGTGACTGGTAGAGATATAACAAAACTGTGCCTAACTTGAGTGAAGATTTTCTCATTCATGCTCTAATGAACCTCCTCTTAGAGATTTTTAAAATTTGTTTGGTATTTTGGGCTCTGAGTCATCACTCTCATGCTCCCTTTCACTGTGAAAATTGCTTTGTCAATGTAAAAAATATGTGATGTCACTTGAAGTCATTCCTCATTGTCCTTCATAGCTATGGTTATGTTTTACACTGAGGCCAGTTTTATTCCTGTTCTTCATTATTTCCTTAATCTTCTTGAAAATTTCTCTCCTCTGTTCCATGATCCCAAACATCATCCTCTGCTATGAATTGCATTCACCTGTATGTTACTAATAAATGAATACAACTTTTGTCTCAAATATTAAAACTTCATTGTGGTATTCCACACAGAGAGTACAATGCCCAAATTGTACATGTTTATTACCATATATTTAGATTGTTACCTGTGACAATTTGCTTAGCATGCCAAAGGAGACATTGCTACAATTATCCAAACCAACTATCAAATCCAGTACACATCACCAATCCAGCTAAATTATGATCAAATTTAAAAATCTACAGTATGCTGTACATATTCCCACAACATATGAACACACTCTTTATAACTGGGAAAAAAGGAAAAGAGAAACAAATATGGAATAAGTGTCAGAGATTAAAGTTATGGATCAGAGAACCAAGACATGAAAATATAAAATAAATATTAAGAGTAGTGTCCATATTTGTGTTTAGTAGATTTCTTTCAAATTGTGGCATGTGCTACAGATAGCAACTTTCATTCTACCACTGAACAAGGGAAATATAAAGTCAATATTTACAATGACATACTATAGTTGAGTTTTTCTTTGGGTTGCCAGATTAAAAAAAAAAATGATAGGGAGACGTGTTAAGTATAAACGTTCAGCCTTAACTTAGGCTTGTTTCTAACTTGCTCTTATAATTTTAACACATTTCTGTTAACTTACTTTCTGCCTTGTGGCTTTATAACCGTATTTCTGTAGTGCCCATCTTGCTTGCTCTGCATTTCCTGGCATCTCTGCCTTCTTATTTCCAGCATCCTGCCTACCCAAAAATTGTGCCCAGACAGATTGAATATTCTGCTTTTTATTAAACCAGAGTGACATGTCTTGACAACATACTGTCTTTATCAAGTACACAAACTGTCTCCTGAATTTGTATAAATGGCTGTTATACATGAACAACATAGAATTTAAAAGAAAAATCACTACTGACATTAGCAATAAAAAGAAATCTGGTTATACATGTTCCCCACTGAAACAAAATTTAATGCAAAGAATAAAATTACCACACTGAATGATCTTTATGTTTTTATGCTTGATTTCAGCCACAGGAGTCATACAGCACAGCAGTTTTGAAATGATAACATAAACAACATTTGAATAAAAATGAACTATTCTTTTAAGATATGTACCCATGAAGCATTTAAGAAATACCAAATTGGCCAATCCCTTGTGATGGAAAAACACTAGCACAACACTTATTGAAAATTTTACTTAGCCTCAAAGAAATGGACTCATGGCAGTAACTTGGATTATGTTTTTGGAAATATCACTTGGCAACATACAGTAGGAATTGCCAATATAAAGGAAATCTCTCCAAAGGAAATATAGACAGTGTGTATCATTCAGCTTATAGCCTGAAAAATCTGACTCTAAAAAGATGAATCAGATAACCATTAAATCACCTGAAATATGGCAATAATCAGCATAAAAAATAAATTTTGGTCATGTACTAGATAGGGAGGTAGGGCAAAACAGACAGAAAACTTGGAGAATGATGTTTTGACCATACTTGGGCCTTCTAAGTGTTTACATTGATGATCAATCAAAAACAGATAAATGAAAGGCACTTACTTCTTATCTAGATTCCTGGTTAAATATTCGTTCTTGATGTGACCATGCTTTGTGTAAATAGAAAAAATACAATCTGTGTCTTTATCTTCACCCCAGGTATGTGGATCTTTAAATCTCAGAAAGCACCTGGGATCCATCAAACTGCAGAAAAGGAAGGAAAGCCTGACGACCAAGAAGAAAAGCTTCAAATAGAACATCTTTATAATGTCACCAAGACTGGAACCTAGATAAAAGTGTAAATAAGCAGAGTTTCACAAAAAACCACGATTTAAATGTGCCTGTACACACACGTGTCTCTTTTTTCTGCTCTAGTACTCAGAAGTGTATTTTTATTTCCTAATATAATTTTTCTCAGCTTATTATTCTCTGGAGAACTCTGAAACATACTCAGCTTCAGGGTCTGCATCTGAGTTATTATGCTCAGGTGCAAGAAAATTTCAGTAATTCTATTTAAGTAATTATCTTCATTTTCACATTCATGTGATTCCCTCCACATCAGTAGACATGAAGGCTCCAGGCTAGATTTGTCCTGAGATATCTATGTAACCACCCTAATCCACATGATCTCTTTTCTTATCAACATGTCAAATATTTGAAGCATATTGCATTAGAAATTCCAAACCAAGTATGATATGGAACTCATTCTAGTGAGAGTTAACTGTAGACAAGCAGGCATTACATCTATGCATGTTTATGAGATGGTATGCTTTATCCACTATTTGGTTTCCTGATGTCTACACAGCATGCAATTTAATACACACACACACACACACACACACACACACACACACACACACACAGACACACACTAAGTGGCCACAGGCAACACAAAATCTCCCACAGTTGCAGAGTTAAGAGAACCAATAATCATCATGAAATCATAAATTTCAAATAGTATCTCAATATATATGCAGAAAGTAAACAACTTTTTTATAGTTCTATTAATTATCTGAGCCTCAGTTCCAATTAATTGATATCCCATGATCATACACTTCTATATCTACAATATTGGTTATTCACATTATTTTTTTTGAATAGTCTAGTACCCATAACTTCCTACATATTTTAATGACTTCTATGTGAATAAAACAGTACAGATCTTGGTTTCTTTTCTTTTCCATATTTGTTTGGTGAGTTGGTATTTTTATTTTTATTGAAAATAACCCTTTTCTCACAAAATATATCCTGATATAGTTTCCCCACCATCTACTCCTCAATTTTTCCCCCTACCCTTGTAACCAGATATTTCCTGTTTCTGTTTCTCATTAGAAAACAAACAGTCTTTAAGGGCTTATAATATAAGAAAATGTAACTTAATATATTCAAACTGACCAACACACAGAAATTAAATAAAATGTATAAATGGAATAAAAATAGTCCAAGGGAAGGGAAATGAATCAGATGTTCTGTTGTGTAATACATAGAATTTTATAACTACAAATCTTATATATACAAAGGAAATGTACCATAAATATATGGAAAATAAATACATAATTACTATAAAAGACAAAAAGAAAATGACAAACTTTCAAAAATTGTAAAGTCCTGACATGACGTTATGAGACAAGGAATTTCCAAGGATGACATGGAGTTTGGTTTCTGCTTTCCATCTACTGCTGTGCATGCAGCCAAACCTTAAAAGTAGTTAGTTTGCCCAGTGATATTCACTTGGAAGCAGTTAACCAATTAAAGATTGCTTTTGGCTTAGGAATGGGGGCATGTGTCTACATCTTCTTTCATCTCTAGGTCCCTATTTGGTGGAGACTTATCAAAAAACCATGCATGCTTTGTCAGTGAGTGCATATGTTCATCAATCAAGTTGAAATACAGGTTCTTGATTTCTTAGTGTCCTTCATCCTCTCTAGCTTTTATACTTTCTGAGAGGAGGCCTTTGATAGTTAATACATTTAGGACCAAGTGTTTCAATGTTTCTCACTGTCTGCTAATGTTTTGCTTTGGGAGTCTGTATGAGTTACAATCAACTGCAGGAGGAAGTTTCTCTGATGATGGCTGAGAAAGGCATTGAACTTTGAGGATGGCAGATTGCCATTCAGAATCTTTATTAATATAGATTTTGGAACAGTGGCATTTGACTCTACCCTAGGTCCCTGGGCTATGTAGTTTAAGGTTCTTGGTCAAGCAAGCAGTGTTGAGTATGATTTCTATCTAGTGGAGTTGCTTCAGTCAAATTGGTATTGGTGTGTTCCTACCAAAACATTTGTTCTACACATTGAACTAGCATTCAGTATAGGCAGAATAACAGTGTACATTAAAGAGGTTGAGGCTGTGTTGTTGTTTATGTTTCTACTTTGATGGAGTATAGAATACTTTCCTGTACTGAAGATTCTAGCATATCACAGTGAATGTTCCATGTAGACACCAGCTTTACATCTTCATTTTCTGTGAGTTGTGTAGGTGATGTCTTCAGCAATGGGACTTTGCAATGATTGTGTTAAGAACACCACTTGATGACAGACTGGTTTGTTTTGGGTTTTCTGTGGGACCTCGTTGTTTAATGCTTCAATTAAATGTAACCTAATTCTGGGACTGGAAGCTTCATTAGTGAACGAATTATGTCCATTTGGGGCTCTTTCTCCTTTATTGGTTGATATCATTTATATCACCTTCATGGATGTGTCTGTTAGGAAGCTCCTATTTTATTAGATTTCGATATAGCACTCAAATGGCCTCAAGTTTATTTTTTTCCCTTCCTATTCCCATACTCAGACCCTTCTTGCCATTTGATAGTCCCATTCCAGCCTCTTCCCCATCCATCTGTACCTAGCTATTCTCTATCAATGTCCTAGGAAAATATATCTGGCCTTCCTAGTCCTTTATTTTGTACTTGGCCTCAATATGTCTGTGGATTCTAGCTTGCTTGTCATTGACTCAAAAGCTAACATGTGCATATAAGCCAATACCTATCATATTTATCTCCTGTATCTGGGCTACCTACTGAAATGATGTACCAGTAAATTTTATAATGTTTTTATTTAAATGGCTGGATAATAGTACATTGTATAAATGTACTGCATTTTATTTATCCAAGTATTTGTTGAGAGACATCTAGGTTATTTCCAATTTCTGCTTATTATGAATAGGGCAACAGTGAGATTAGGTGAGCCAGTTTCACGATGTGGTACGATGAAGCAAACTTTGGACATAATCTCAAAAATGTTATAGCTGGATTTTAAAGTAGACCAATTCCCAACTTCCAGAGGAACTACTAAAGTGATTTCTCTAGTGCCTGTACTAGCTTGCACTACAACCTACAATGGATATGTGTTTTCTCTAGTGCTCATTATTAGTGGTGTGGGCTGTCACTTGTTTTATTGATCTTACTTATGCTGATTGAACATATAGAATGTTGAACACATCTTTAAGTGTTTCTCTGCCATTTGAGATTCCTCTTTTTAGAAATCTCTGTATTTGTACTTCTTTATTTCTTATGTTTATTTTACCTTGAAATTATTTTTAATAATATATATATACATACATATTTATATATTTATATCCACCAAGTTGGGGCTCTGTCCCTCCCATTAGTGGGTAATTTTATTTACCCATTCTCGCTCACCTCCATTCATGCACATCTATCTTTTCTATTTCCATTTACTAGGAAAATGTATCTGTCCTCCTAATCCCATATTCTATACTTATCCTTCCTACATCCATGGATTCTAGATTGATTGTCTTTGACTCAAATGCCCAAAAAGAGTGATAAATTATAATGTATTTAGATACATCTACATACAGCCATCCAGTTTGACTGGCATCATTTCTTTACGAAGTTGTCTATTTTCCCACATGTATTTCTGCCATTTTATCAAGAATCAGGTGTCTGTAACTGTGTGTATGTATGTCTGAATCTTCATTTGTTTTCATTGTTCAGTTATATACAAACTTAGCATGTTTGTATATATTTCTATAGATTTTGTATTCCCTTTTCAGATTAAGGCATGATGATAACTCCAGCAGCTCCTTTATTATTCATATTTTATCTATTTGGAGTTTTTGTGAGTACATATGATGCTGAGAAGTGTTCTTTCAAGATCAGTGAATAATATGGACTTTTGATGGGGATTACAATTAATCTATATAACTATTTCAGTAAGATGGCCATTTAAACGATATTAATCCTATCATATCATAAGCATAGGAGATTGTTCTACTTTCTGATAACTTTTTTCATGTTTTTGTCTTTATATAGTTGAAATTTTTGCCATACAAATATTTCATATTCTTTGTTTGTTTCTAGTTTCACACACACACACACACACACACACACACACACACACACACACATATATTCTATCACAAAACATTTGTCATTTTATATAGGAGAACTGTTGATTCTTTTGTGTTAAGTTTATTCCAACTATTTTGATGAAAACATTTATCAATTTTAGGGGTTTTACTTGTGGATTTATTTAATCTCACAAGGAAATTAATCTTTTCAAATGCCATAAGGCATCAGAGATATGTAAATATAGGAGACATTAATTCACCTAATGAATCTCTTGGTAAGTTATATACAAATGAGTCATGTTGAAAATTTCATTTTCTGGGCAGGGGGTACAATCAAAACAGCACACAGCCTTTCCCTACTGATGTGATTTTCTGAATCCTAGAGTCTACAGCACACTGCATACTGAGAGTAGAATCTGAATAAAGTAACAAATGAGTTAGAAAGCAATGGTTATTCATTCTTGGCAATAGTTCCAGTGACTTAGAACATGGCATCATTGAAAAACATTCTTGAAAGGACATGTAATAAATTAAAAGTAATATTTCACTCTATTTTGTGGTTAGATAATATAGATTTATTATTACTTCTATAATGTGAAACATATGTAAATATGTGCTTTTATATATCTATAATAAACATCTAATTATTATCTATCTATCTATCTATCTATCTATCTATCTATCTATCTATCTACCATCTATCTATCTAACTTTCATATATTGGCATGTGTGTGTTAATATATGTGGTGATATATTGTGTAACCTAATAAAATTTGCCGGAAGATCAGAGAATAGAATAAGCCACTAGATTAAATATAGACACCAGGAAGTGGTGGCACATACCTTTAATCCTAGCACTCGGGAGGCAGAGCTCTGTCTGGATCTCTGTGAGTTCAAGCCACCCTGGACTACATGAAATTGACTCAGTCTAGGAGAACAACAGAGACAGGCA